AAGAACACATAATTCACCATGAAGGAGATTTTTATTCCATTTACTTCTCCACTAATTCTTAATAGAAGAATAGTGTTAAAGTCATTTGATATATTTAGAAACTAAACCAAACTTCAGAGTTAATAGGAGAAACTGATGTTACAAACCCAGAGCAAAATGCAAGGTCAGCAAAGAAAATTGATGGAAACTATTCTTTAGAACTCAAGAAAGCACGTTACATTTCATTAAAAAGCAAATGAAGTTAGCAGTTTCAGGCTCCTTATTTGATATCAAACATCTAAACTGGCCTCTTTGGGAAGACAGACATATATTCAAAATGCCTTGCAGTGCCCTAAGACGACATATAGCTCTGCAAGCTCAGTGCTGCGGCCAGCTAATGCTTCATTGTTACAGGAACTCAGTGAAATAATTATGTAATATGCCACTAACTAATGTAAGCTGTCCTGAAACCAAGAAGGGGTGTTTTCCTATAAATCTGGATCCAATTTTCTTCATTAAAAAAAAAATCCAGTCTTCTGGACTGTCCAGAGAACTCTGTATAACTGTTTTTGAGTGCTCCAAGTCTCATAATATGCCTGGGGGATTTCTTAGCATCTTATTGCATTTCTTTATACCTTTCCCAGCACAGCAGTGCAAGCCTTGAGAATGCAGTAATAACACAAAGCATCTGAAAATGGGGGAGGGAGAGGAAGGAAGGCAGAAATCTGCCTTCCAACACACAACCATCTGCACACTCCCCCAGATAAACAACAAAATGAAACAAATCTTCTACTCAGAGACTGCACCTTCTCATACATATTCTATTGGAAACCAGGAGCCCAAACTTGCTAGACTGCCCTAGTCAAAGAGCAGGATCACCTGTGATTTGCTTGGTTTAACTCCGAGCCCTCCTGCCGTTACCTCGAAAAAAAGAGTATTCAGCAGAAGTTAAGTGAGTTTCCATTGCAAAACAAGGTGCAGATGTTCCACCTCAGAATACATGCCTGGATCAAGTGCTTGTCATTTGATAGGAAGCTCTGGGAATGCCAGGCTGGTACAGGGTGGTTCTGCTTCATGGCCTTTGCACCTCAGCAAGGACAACAGTCTCCCAAGAGTTCTCCCACTGTCTCTGAGCTCGTTATGAAAAAAAACAACGATAAGAAAGCAACACTCATTAAACTGGCCATTGTTGATCACTGGCAGCAAATGTTTAGTAGGAGGATACCAGATGTATTCATGCTAACAATCAGCATCCAGATGCTGAGTCAACAATTCTCTAATTATTTCTTCTTGTCTTTCTTAGTGCACCAAATATATTACAACAAATTGCTTGAAATGGTTGATCATTGCTAATGTGTCACTTTCCCATTGGTGAAGCATAAACATACTCATTTGAATGATTTTAAAATTTTCTTTCACCGGAAAAGGAGACAAAACTCAAATGCTCTCTTTTATGCAACTTGTTAAAAAAACCCCATGTTGTTAAATGAAGACTTTCCTCCAAAAGCATCAATCAGACTTGAGATTATCATGGGGCATCATGAGGAGCTCAAAGCTAGTAATGATATTAAGAAAACACTGAAAGGGGCACAAATTATCAGTATAAAACAAACAACCCTGAAGAAAGGAAATGGCTTTGTTCTGTGGTTCAAAGTCATGGACCCCCATTCAAAACCCTCTCACCTCATCACTGGTTACAAGCCTTTTGCTGGCTGTGGCTGTCTTAATTATATGAGTATGCAGAACTTTCCATCATATCACAGAATCACAGAAGTGTTGAGGCTAGAAGGCACCTCTGGAGATCATCTAGTCCAAACCTCCTGCTCAAAAATAGGCTCAACTAGGGCAGGTTGGTCAGGGCCATGTCCAGTCAGGTTTTGAGTATCTCCAAAGATGGAGACTCCACAACTTTTTTGGACAACCTGTGCCAGCATTAGACCACCCTCACAGTAAAAAAAAAAAAACAAACAACAAAACAAACCCCCAAAAAACACATCCCGCCCCCCCAAAAAACCCCAACCAAACATTATGTTTGAGAAGACAGTCAACTTCAGTTAAGTTTCCACACTACAAAACAGTCAGCTAAATCTGCAACACACCATTACTTCTTAACAGTTAATGGAAGAACTTCTGGACCTCCCATTTCCCCCTAGCCTCAACAAAACCACACTTTTCTGTCCATAGACTAGATCCCATCTATATTAGTCACCATTCTTTCTTCCCCCAGACCTCCGCCGAGTAAGCCAAAATCAGAAATAGCGTTTATGAAATAAACAGCACTCTGTCAATAAATGTTCACATACACACTGGAGCACGATCATGAATGACACTACTCAGGAACAGAACGAGATTAAGACATAGCTGAGGTTTCTTACACCTACCAGTCAAGGAAGACCAACCAAGTGCTGGCATTGACTCAGTTGCCTGGAGCTTGCAGATAACAAATTGCCATCTGTAACTCTTGCTGGGCAAGAAAAAGCAGGACTCATCTTGGGATGCAAATTATATTCTTCTACTCAGTGTTGAACTAAAGGGCTGCCAAATGCACATGATGGAACAACTTTTCGCATTTCTTAGGTATCAATACATCTCTTATCCATAAGCTGCAGCTACAAATCAATGGCACATAGTTCCAGTGGCTTGTGCCAGAGGTGAAAGATTAAAACCGCTAGTAAGCCTCATAAAACAATAATGACATATTTCACCAGCATACCGATTATCTCAATAAGCAAAAGCAAGTGTTTCAAGAGAGATTCTAAAGGAATAAGGAACCATCTCATTTATTTCCTGTGGCATCTAGGTCCATAATGCTTTCCTCTGAAATTACAAACCTCCTTCCACATCACACAATCTTACATGTATCTTATCCTATATCTGCAAAAATACTTTTCAGGAAGGCATCTACTTATAAGTAGTTCAAGTATAACCTTCAATAAAACCTAATTAATTGAGTTTGAAAGGGCACTTTGTTGTCAATATCATTACTACCACAGCAGTGTCTTTGAAAAGACAAGATCCATCACTGCTGACACAAGCCACTTATAAAATAAATACTATGGCAGAGGCATGGAAGATCTGTAGGCATCTCTAAAGCACCCTTCGAGTTCACTGCAGATGTTGCCAGTGTTTATACTTTTTAAACCACTGGGATATAAACACCTCACTATAAACACCACTGAAGTTTTGCTTTTCTTTTCTTCATTTTGTGTGTGTTTATTTTAGTGTTAAAAACGTTAACTTCCATAATAAGGGAAATAGCAACAGATGTTTAAACTAAACAAAGACTGCTATAATAGAGTATATTCCTAAAGCTGTTCTTTTGCTTTTGAACTATTAAAGCCAAGATCTGGTTAAATAACAATTACTGGAAAAGAGGGTGGGGAAAAAAGGGGATGGGAAGAATCTTCCATAAATGCTAGGCATAATTATAACAAATTGAAATAATGAGCCAAAACTACAGTTTTTCTGCCTTAGTCAACAAAACACTCAGGAACATGTACCACGCAAGTAGAATTTTATGCAAAACTTCACGGTCTTCTCAGAAATCGTCAACTGCTTCCAAAGAAAGCATTGGTTACTATAGAGAGCAATGAAAAAGTTAAAGGAGCCTGCAAGTTGTTCTTTCTTTCTTTTTTTTTTTTAAACTAGTTTTCTTGATGTAATGAAGAAAGAACCGGAAAAGAAAGAGCTTGGAAATTCAACTCTATTGAATCCTGGCTCTGCATTATTCAGTACTGATAGGCAAGCTCAATCTTCTGTAAAAGAGCTTTATTCAAGCAAATAGATACATATTTGAGCAGGAAAGAAAAAGAAAGTAAGAAAAAAAAAAAAAAGAAACCGAGATAGTAACAGTTCTACAGGGGGGAGCCTCTCCACTTCCTGAAGGAGAGAAATGTGGCCATGCTGATTTAATGATAGACAAGATCGTATTTTCCAAAGTGAGGTTCAGCTCCCTGTTTTCTGGCCTGGTCCTTTTCTGAAAGGTATGAATAGATAGCTCCTAGCCCTATGTATACTCCTTATTGTTTCTTCCCTGACAACTACAGCAAGTTTATTTTCCAAATGAACATGCAAAACGTTCCTGCTGTAAGAAAGATTTCTCCAACGCTTGTGTGTGGCTACAGCAAAAACAGTTCTACTGCCAAGCTGAATTATCTCAGTGGTGCCTTTCTTTCCAGTCAAAGCCAAGCCATAACCACTTCTTCAAACTGCACGTAGATAAAACTCCACTAGATTAAGAAACTGATTTTACCCTGTTACCTCGGGCAACTTCCAAAGAGGACCATTAACGCTCACAATATGCAGAGCAAACGCCAGCCTACATTAGCTGAAGTAAAACTCAGAGTCCGGCAAGGAGAAAAAACCCTAAGTTTTCTAACTAGTTGTGAAATTCTTTTCCCAGTGGAGAGTGGAGCATGGTGGGGTGGTTCCTGGGAAGGAGGGGTGTGCAGGGGGGAGGAGGGGAGGCATCCCACAGCAGGGTCTCCCCAAGCTGTGCGGGAAGGGGAAGCGAAACAACAAGCTGCCCTGTGCCGCCACTGGCAGCCCCAAGCCCCGTGGCCCCATAGCAGAACCGGTAGGGAAATACCTCAGGCCTCGTTGTCTGAAGAGGTCTCATGTCCAAAAGTGGCAGTGCACAATTGCTAGGCTGGATTACAGGTAGAGGTGTACATTAACTCTCACACCCATCTTACAAACTGTTCCTTTTACAGCCACAGAAATGATGAACAAAAACTCTGTCTGCCACAAAAGCAACATGGTCCTTAAAACTAATCAAACTGATGTTATCTTTAAGAAAAAAAAAATTAACACTAAAAATACTCTTTGTAAAAGTAAGGACAGAAAAGTTAAAAGAAAAAAAAAAAATCCTTCCCTTAAACAAAGCCTTAACAACAATACCGACTGCGAGGAATCTCACTCATAACCAACAGTACAGATTTCCTTCCCAGAGAAAGAATTCATGCTTGCAAACAACAGAAAACACACCCGACAAAAGACGCTTTGTGAAATGAAACCATTACCTTCATAGCACAGAATGCCAATATTGTTGTTCATCTTGTCCAAGTATTGGTAGTTCAACAGGTCCATCTTCATAAATAGCATTTATCGGGCTAGCAAAAAAGACCAGCTTGTTTGCTTTCGCCCAGGTTCAGGGAGAAAGAAGCCAGGCAAATGGTGCCGAGTACGCTCCCGGCTTCCTAAACTTCACTAGCACAAGGCCCAGCCTTCAGCTAATCAAAAGAAAGTGTATTAAAGAAAAGTTGGAGGGATTAAAACGCACACACTCTCCCTTCCAAAGTTTTGAAAACTAAAGTATACTGTGTCCTTCAGTACAAAGAAGACTGTCTAAAAAACTTTTCAAGTCTTTTTCCAATTTAAAAAAAAACCAAAAACAAACCACAGAGAAAAAAAAAAAAGAAAACAGAAACAAGGGAAATTTCCTAGGACAAAGAAACACTAGTTCTGCTCACAGCCTGCTGCAAGTTAACTGCACTGACATGCAGGCTATGCTTGGTATGACTCCTATGTAAACCAGCTTCCTCTCGCTACCAGGCGGGGAGGACTGCGCATGCTCCCTGAATCCCTGGAGCTCCTCAAATGTCAGGGATATTTTCTGCACAAGCTCAGGCTCTAAATGCACTGAGTAGCTGAAAGACAGAGGAGGCGGCGAGCCTCTGCAGAGGGGCCTGTGCGGAAGGGGCCATGGCTCTTGACAGGAAGCAGCGCTGCCTCTGCCCAGGAGGAAGCTCTGATATGGACAAAGACAATTAAAAAAATGCGGTACGGTGGGGATACCTGTATGCATATGGACAGGCGCTTGCTGTGTGCTCACATGCTGCTGCAAGTCAACTAGCATGCTCCTCCATTTGATTGATTTTTTTTTTTAAAGGGCTGTTAGCAGTCAAACATTCCGTGTTCTGGATTTCTAACAGCTGTCAAAGCTCTAGTTTAGAAGATACAAATGATGGAGATGTTCACATCAGTTGCTCTTATCTCAGGATGTGGTCTGCCCTTCTGCAGCCCAAACCTTGGTCACAAAGACTCCAGCTGCCTGTACAGATGTGCACACCTCATCACAACAGGGCAGAACATCTGTATGGGTGTAAGCATGTGCTAATCTAATGGGCATCAGTTTGCATCTCCTGCAGCTGATCAGCACCTGCAGTCTGAGTTGACAGAAAAAGAGAAATAAATACAGGGGAAGTTTGGCCTAAGACAAACAAAAAAGCTAACAGAGTCCTAATCTTCCCTCTGCCTTGAAACATAACTCATGCTTGCCTTTCTGGGACAGAGAATTTTAATGGTACACACATGACCATACAGTCAGGGAGAATTAATAACAAACTTTCATTCCTACTTTGAGAATTTCTCCCCTCTGTTAGAGAAGGGGAAGGTATTGTATTACAGAGGCAACTCATGGAATGATGTCTTGCCAAGGCATTTTGAAAAGTGCTGCTTGAACGTCCTGGATGTTTCAGTGAGAGTAGGTAATTTAGTTAAAGTTACTACTGATGAATAGGAATAAGAAATTTATCTCCAAGGAAGATTCCCTAGAACCCAAATAAGGTTTCTCCTCACTTCAGATACAAAAAGTAGTCCTCTGTGTTATCTACCTGTATGCTTCAACTGAAGGAGAATGTCCACTAACAGCACTGAATTCAATACAGCAGGAAACAAACTACCTGAAAAGAATTCTGCAGTGCTGGGAAGATGAAGGTCAAGAAGCCTTTCATTGATTATTTATATGCAAAAAGGGCACTCTCCTATTTGGAAATACTATTAAATCTTTAAGACTTTAACCTGGTATAAAAACTTATGGGTACTTAACACTGAGGTAGCAGTACGTGTCTTGCATAGTACCTTTGTGTCTGTACTCATAGTCATAGCACCATAGTGTCTTTGCCTCACAGGACTGGTTACCACAAAAGTTGCAACCACACATCTCTAGACCAAAGTAATGCATGGTGTTTTCTAGAAAGACAAATGTTTTTAATAAAGAGAAGAATGCTATGATTTTTCAGCAGGGGGACTAGAAGTTTTACATAGCAGATCATGTTGTACATACTCACATTCAAAGCTATTCTTTACTCATGCTTTGGATTAAACCAGCCATTTAATAAAGGCATCAAGAGAAGTCTTACTGCTTTAAGATATAAACTATGATAAAAATCCATACCTACAATACTAACAAAAGAGAGGCATGTTTCTTCAGCATGAAATGCAAGTTTCTTATGTAAGCGTGCCAAAGCTTTTCAGGAGAAGTATTTCTGATATGTACAGTTTTTTAATATAGAGAGCATCCCTGAATTTACATTAACACAGCAGATTTTGTAGATGCTTGGGAAGTATAAGAAGAGGTAAGGATTTAATTTTTCCAATTTAAAATACTTCAATTTTTGTGGGAAGTGCAGGTGATGAGGAAGAAAAGAAAGAAATGTTCTAAACTTTTTTAGAGCAGTGGTCTACAAGACAGGGTATGCACATAGTGGGGCAAGGCATTATAGTTCAAAATCCAATAACATCCCCTCTATATTCAAAGATACGTGTTTCTTCAAGGTGTTTGGAAAAGCAAGGCTGGGTATTGTCTACAAATCACTGACTGCTCGGTATTGCTGTCCAGGCACAATAAAGAAGTTGTCTTCTTTATTAGACCAGTAGTCACTGGCCTACAGGTTTTTTAGGCAGTCATGGCCACTTTATTATGTGAACGCCTTTCAGCAGTACAGCATACACAACGATTAACACTTGTCAAATGTTGCATAATGAACAACTTAGACGCACATCAAATAATAATAAACTGGTACTGAACACAGGGAGCTTTATAAATTTCTAAATTAAAATACCTACACTGAAAGTAAGGCAATGCCTAGTGAAAGAATAGGGGGAAAAATCATCAGTGTAAATCTATCTCAAGCATTCTAAAACCAAAATCCATTAATAAGAAATCTTTCTTTGAAAGAAAACAGCTCAACAAATTCAAGTCCAGCAGACATTAACCTTAAATACTGACAGGGTCACTGTAAAAGTACTCTGTTCTTGACAGCAAGGAATTCCCAGCTGCTTGACTCAAACTGCTGTTTATTAAACACTTCACCACTCTGAGATACCTTCCACCGAACTGAAATCAATAATCAGTGCATCAGCAGGTTAGATGCAATGTACGCAGAAAAACAAGCTATTAACATCACCCCAGGACCTCTATTAGTTCATTCTGTTCTTCTACATATAGATACTTGCAAACACAATGATGTGCTGCAGCATCCCTGCTTCGTATTAGCTAGAGTACTTCCTATAGGATTGCACACACTTTCTTACGTGAGGCAGATAAATACCATATCCATATATACAAAATGTTTAAAACACTGGAACTTTTAATGCAACAGCATCCCCTAGAGGTAACTGAAAATCCACATGTCTGTCTGAATCAGTCCAGACTTCACATCGAAGTACGTTACATTGGATTCTCGTTATCCCACATAGCAGATGTTCTGGTTCACTTTAATATGGAAAGCAAATTCAGCCTTCACACAAGAACGTCATCACAGAGACAAGGAAAGCAAATGAGGCGGGAGAGAGGGGGAGAAAGGTGGTTCTAAGGAGTAGGTAAATCACCATTTTCAAAACCAGGAGGCTCAATATGTGTTTTGACAGCCTAGTATCTGCATTAGAGTGGACTTTGACAAAATTTCTCTGCTGCTTTTCTACAATTCTAACAATAACAGATTAGCAAAACTCTAGCTCTTGGAGAATACGGTGGTATTTCTACAAAAGTAGCATGAAGCAACTGGAGTGGTGGACTCAACCATCTACGCTCCATGTGTTTTCCCCAGATTAGATATGCCTGGTCAGACAGAGCAATGTGCATTGGCAGCTGGAGCTGGAGGCACGCTCTTGGTGCTCTGTAAAAGTCTTACAGTGCATGTTACGAGTATAGTATGTTATTGTGTCACTGGTTCCTAAATGCTGATAAAACTTCTCTGCTATAAAAATATATAGTCCTGGCTTATTTGAGCAATAATAGGACTTAATATAAAAATAATTGTGTATTATTACTTAGAATTGTATCTTACTTATTTACCCAATTTTTTTGCAGGGAAAAAAATAGCAATTCCTTATTATGTCAAGTCCATAGTATCAGATTTGATAGTAAGAGTCTATATGTGGTTTTTACAGCACTTACATTAAGCCGCTTTAGAGCAAACGTGTTCAAGCATGCTACAATGGAGCATCCTTCCTACTTCTCTCCGCTGCCCTGCCCCTGTCCCCTGTCTCTGGGCCACTGTACTCCCCTCAGCCCTCCTTACTCCCTTTTCTCCCATGTTTGCCACTGCCTCGGGCAGTAGAAGAGCCTGGTTTTGGTGCAGTTTTACTAGCTTGGTCTACACTCCACACCACAAAATGTCTTTCAGTGGGAAAATGCATGACACTGGCAGGGAATCAACACCATAGAAGAACAATGTGCAAGCCGTTCACTTGGACACAACTGAAATTTCACCCTTGATGATCGTCAGCAAAGAAGAACTATTTCTACAGCGACCAGTTTTGCAACCGAGAGAAAAAATGAAGTCTTTATAGAGGTGAGACACACTCATGTGTAAAACACAATACAGTATTGCTCAGTATAATTCCATTTTTTGAATGGACAAAAGTATCTGTTGCAGCTCCTGAGGTCAGACAGGCATTTAGGATATACCACCTATTAGCTGATACCTCCGTATGCTCCAAGAAGGAGGTGGAGGAATAAAGTGAGAGTACTTAAGATACAGGTTTTACATTTTTTTCTTTAACTAAAAAATGAGCAAATTTTAGTTAATAACTGCTAGGTGGCGATGTGCCTGAAGGAAAAATACTGCTTTTCCTTTCCCACACACTCCACTGCAGAGTTGCTGCACTTTCCACCTTGATTTTTATTATTTCAATTAGAACACGTTTCACAGAAAAAAAAGTAAACACAAATTCTCATTTAAGTAAACAAAATTTCTCGTTTAAGCAAGATGTGGCATTTGCTTTTACATGCATTCAGATATGATAAAGAAATACAGTTAAAATTTATTAAACATGCAGGAAGTTCAGAGATGCATAAGGAAAATGACATGTAAAGTTTCTTGCAAACAGCTACCTCAAGAGCTGTGCCCCTGAGACCCACACAGAATAACCAACCCATAACTAAACTCCTTGCTCAGTGAGTCAGATACCACAAAACGTACTGACTTTATATACTTTTTACAACACATTACATAATGATTGCACCAGTGAACTGAAGATGTCAAAACCCATGTTCTTCCAGATCACTTTTTTTTTTTTTAAACATAAAAGTA